AACAGCCTTATACCAGTAGAAGCTCCAGCCAGCAGAAGGATGATCAACCCTGCAGTTCAGAGTTACTGAGGCTCCAGGACTCGGCCATGATGGAGACACAGTGAGGACAGGCTGAGGTGTGTCTGTTGGAAAGTGATTTAATGATAAAGTTATGATTTATAATTGGTGGGTTACATGCACTCATTGGATCCTACATAAGTTCTACAAACGTATAAAGCTAATTAAGGGTGAACTATCCTTTAATAAAATAACCAGAATACTAGTTATTAGTTATTTTTTTGATACATAGTCCAAAAAAAAGTTACTGTCAGATACTCTCAATGCTAAAAATATCTATTTGTCACAGGTAATAAAGTATATACCTTGGCCCTGAAGTGCAAGACACCACAGCATTTAAGAAAACACAACAGCATTTCACAAAACACCACAGCATTTCACAAAACGCCAAAGCATTTCAGAAAACACTACAGCATTTCACAAAACGCTACAGCATTTCACAAAACACTACAGCATTTCACAAAACGCTACAGCATTTCACAAAACGCTACAGCATTTCACAAAACACTACAGCATTTCACAAAACGCTACAGCATTTCACAAAACACTACAGCATTTCACAAAACGCAACAGCATTTCACAAAACGCCGCAGCATTTCACAAAACACTAAAGCATTTCAGAAAACACCACAGCATTTCACAAAATGGTATCAGTATGTAGTTACTTCGGCATCATTTTGAAATGTGTATTACAATTAAATCACGGTAAAATATGTTCATTTTGTTGTAGTTGGTTGTAGCCCCACCCCCTCTCCAGCGCGTCTTGTTTGAATGACAGGAGTAAACACAGCTGACAGCCGCGGTGAAACTCGAGTGATTAGAGCGATGCGAAAAAACCATGAATTAATGCTTTATTAATTCATGGTTTTTAAGGGGCTTATCTCCATGTAAATACTATGGTAGACTAACCAATATTCGCATTGCTTTGGCTATACATTTTATAGCCACATAATTTATATATTGTAGTGCAGAGAGAAGGGAGTCGGAGGCGGTGCATCGAAGGTGCAAAGTTGGCTTTGTTGAGCAGCAGAAAAGCACATGTTGTCCGGTTGCAGTCCGGGAAGAGAAGGGAAGAAGAGAAAGGAGGGCACACAGTGGCCGTTTCTCAATCTCGAGGATGCTGGCTTGGTAGTCGCGTACTTCCAAGTCACTTCCTTCAGAAACGAAGCAAGTATGCTTCCAAGCCACGGCTTCGGAAAACAAAGAAGAATGGAACAGGCTAACAAGTGTGCAGGTGTGCGTCATATTATAGGCCCCGCATTACATTTTCCGCCACAGATTTTGGAAATTGGTCCGTGCGCAAAGCATTGTGGGGATTTTAAGGAAGCGAAGTCTACCCATGTGCAGCCTCGAAATTTCCCCCAAACCAAGGACGCGGCCTCCGTGGAATTCCAAGTATGCTGGACATTGGAACGGTCCTGCTGCGCCACTTGATGACGTAGCATCCTTGAAATATTGGCTGGAAGCCAATATCCTCGCAATTGAGAAACGGCCACTAGGTACACAGGAGGTACAGTCAACATGTGTGTCCGTGTGGAACAATACCCCCAACCTGTAGTTCCATGAGTGAATTATGATAAACAGTGATCACTACAATATACAGTCTATGGTTGGGACATGTTGCGCTGTCGGGTGCTGACCAATCACGAAGCGTCATTTCTTGACTGGCAGCAAAAACAACCAATCACAGCAGTGCTTCTCTGGCTGGCTCTGTCCAGTCACAAACAAGAAGTGTTCTCGCTAAAGGAATACCCTTTCCGTCCAATGTGAAATGCTGCGGCGTTTTGTGAAATGCTGTTGTGTTTTGTGAAATGCTGTTGTGTTTTGTGAAATGCTGTTGTGTTTTGTGAAATGCTGTTGTGTTTTGTGAAATGCTGTAGCGTTTTGTGAAATGCTGCGGCGTTTTGTGAAATGCTGTTGTGTTTTGTGAAATGCTGTTGTGTTTTGTGAAATGCTGTTGTGTTTTGTGAAATGCTGTTGTGTTTTGTGAAATGCTGTTGTGTTTTGTGAAATGCTGTAGCGTTTTGTGAAATGCTGCGGCGTTTTGTGAAATGCTGTTGTGTTTTGTGAAATGCTGTTGTGTTTTGTGAAATGCTGCGGCGTTTTGTGAAATGCTGTAGTGTTTTGTGACATGCTGTGGTGTCTTGCACTTCAGGGCCACCGTAAGTATAACATGGTTTATTGGTAAAGTATTATCTTTATGTAAATGCTTTGATGTAAGAAGCTGATCGGTGTCTGTCTTTAGGTCCTTATTTTAATACTTATGATTTTGTGATAACACAAAGTACAGGATTGTACAATATACATCACCTGCCTATCCAGCATCCGTGGAGCTGTTTGAACGTTAAAATATTTAAAAAGTTTACAAATTATATATTAGAACTTGTCCAAACTGGGTGTTCATATCAAAATTGCTCATTAATTGAAATAAATAGTTTTTATTGAACTTGGTCATGGTGGTATTACGTTGATCACTTACCTGACACATTCAGATATATTGTATTGCTTTCCTTTATGATGAAAAACACATTGGTATTCACCACTGAAGCCTGTGGCTGAGGGTAATTTATAGCTCTCATATTTGTGGTAAGGGAGAAATAATCTGCCATCCCTTTGGATTGAGTAATACCAGTCGCTGTATTTGTCTCCTGTAATGTCACACTTGACGGTAACAGACTCTCCAGTAAAAACAGTGGTCCAGTTTGGCTCAATGGTCAGCACAGCATCTAGAAACCATCACAAGATACATGAAGTAAAATGTTTTTTATTTTCTTCGTCAAAACATTTATAATACATTGACAAAATGGAACACACAAAAAACAGGATGTTGTTTGGAGAATTTCATAGGTAGGTTTGTCTAGAGTGAGTAAATAACATTTAAAAAATGGAATTGTATAATTACCTTGAGATTTAACACGGTAAAGTAAATTCAGCACTGAAATAAGTATGAAACTACATCAGACATTGTTCAAATTAAAGAAATCAAACGTATCATAACCTCAGGCATTCAAAAAGTTGTATCAATGGCAATTCAAACTGGAAAAGTACTTACAGAAAAACACCAGTAGAGAGAGCAAAGTGTGTCCCATCTTCACATCCAACACTGATAATCTGCTCCTCTGTTTATGAGAAATTCTTCTACTTTGTGTAAATAGAAAGATTGAAACTGCAGCATATGAAGAGGAATCAGAAACTATAGAGAAACAAATGCAATGTAATACTGGAAAAGGACGGGTTTTTTTTAACTTCTTTTAAAAAGTACACAGTCTGCGCTTCCTTCCTTTTACACAAAGCCCACACAACTGAACAGATTTTAACACAGCACATGTTTTTACACCTTGGTTTATGTATCGTCTAATGATGAAAAGAGATAAGGTATTAAAATATAATTCCCGATAGATAAGATCATCCTGTAGGCTCGTGCTCCTACACAAATGGTCAGTAATTATTGATGCTGCTATAAAGACTGCTGCATGAAGTCTTTCTAGAAAAAATAAAGTGCATACAGTTTTAAAAAGGAGATACAATTGCAGTTGTCATACTCACTTTATAATCCGTGGGCCTTCTCACCAATATTTCATTTGAAAATGTGTGTAACAGCTTTAACCAAATAGCTGAACTGCAGTGTTGGAGTGTTATGGAGGAATTCCAGTTTAAGTTTAGAAACAAGCTCACCCACAGGAAGTCTCTCATAGTCTCTTTACCAGAAGTGAATGTGAAGAGAGACAAAGTCCTGCCCCCTCCTCGAAATAGACTCTATCTACTTTAAGGGGGCATAATTCTATATCTATATCATTCATAATAAATTAATCATTTGAATACAGAATATTTTTTGTCTAGGTGTAAAATTGTATCACAACAGTTGTATAAAAAGGATGTTAATGCAATAAAAATGATCAAAATAAATAATACCACAACACTTGAGTAGTTGTGAAGTTTTAAATGTTGTGGGTAGTCAAAATTGAAAGCTTCCACTTCCATGCATCAGTGCAAAGCTAAGGAAGTGAACTGTAAGCAGTCAATTGTTTAGTTATTAGTTAGAGAGTTACATTTACATGGCATCAGACCCTGGTGCCAGACTTCAGAAGGACTATTTGTGTAGAGTAGGTAAAGTATCAGATAACGTAGTTTAACACCACCTTGTGGTCATATATCGAAAGAAAGCTTCTATTATAACTGCACAGTGACTAGAGACAAAATGTAATAAAATATCCTCAGTAAAACATACTTACATAAATTGGACAAATTAATGTTGGCTGTAGTGCGTCAGTAGATTCCCTTCTTCTATCTCTCTACATAGAGAATACTGTATGTTTACCCATGGACAATGTAGGAACAAAGTACCATATATTCACATTTTGAAATCATACAAGATAATAAAGTGTAAGTACTAGCAGAAAACATATTATATATTAAGTGCATTAAGGGTTTTGGTTACCATTTTTTTATTTTAATGACAATAACAGGTTTGAAAAATATATAGTGTTATGCCATGTTTTCCTCCTGGACAGGCTTTACTGCTTTGATTGAATTGAAAGCATGAAATAAAGATAAGACTTGTGGGTTGTTGTTTTTTTATTGGTGACAAGCGTATGAGAAATTCCACCATATTTTTATTTATATTGGATGATCTGCTTAACACAATAAAGAACATTTGTATAATTCAAGATGAGATGGTAAAATGATCCAAGTTATTTTTATTAATAAAAAACAAAAAACGGGCCCTGAATATCTGAAAGGAAACAAATACACTGTACAAAAGGTGTGTGCTTCAGTTCCTTTGAATCTGAACATCTTGTTTGACCTATTGGTGGCGCTGTGACTTCAGATGTTTTGGCTTTTGCAAGAGACTACTTCTGCAGATAAATTAAAGGCATTAGATAATGTGTTGGCACCCTGTGGTAGCATCTAGTAAGAATCATTCACTGAACAGTACATGCAGGTATAATTGCATTTGTGTTTTATTAATAATATATGTGTGTGTCCACTGTGTGCATCTACAGTGCTAAAGCATGTGTCCATACTGCATATATTAGTATCTGGCTCTAATATCACCAAATGTACAACAAGGTTAGAGCCACATGATCTGAATCTGACATGTAACAGATAATGTTGCAGTACAATGTTTTATACTAAATATAAGTACACAGAAAGTAAGTATACAGTTGAATTGCAAAGCATTTAGCATGTTCCTAGAAAGGCCGTTATTAAAAAAAGGCACTGCGCTATTTACACAAAAGCAGCAAATACACTCAATTGCTGAAACAAGGATGTTGCTTTTCATGTTTTTATCCGCTCCATTGGTTCTGTCCATGAGGATGTCTTTATTGATCTGGAAGAAAACCAAAATGAGTTATTATAATTGGGTCATTTCTGCTCATGGCACTATTTTTGAATACAACAATGTATGTTAATGCCAACTAATTTGTGTGTGAGAATATTTAAATTTGCCATTTATTAGTTACGATGTTTTAAGTAATGTTTCATTAAAACAAAACATGTCTGGAAAACAACATGCTGTATATAAGAAAGACATGAAAATGCACACAAAGTGTAAAAGCTTTATTTGGTGGATTTGATCATTGCTGAAACTGGCAAGCAGCACAGCACATTATAAAAGCTTTTAGTATATTCATATCAGAGGTCGCGTTAACCGAATATTTTCCGTCTATGACGGAATTTTTCCAAGAATGACGGAAAAATCTGAAAGCAGTCCGTCATTTTGACAGATTAGAACACAACTCGGAACAGCGCCAAAATGTCCACCAGCGGCCCACATTATATTACATCCTTAGTGGCCAGGTCGACTGAGGGAGAATGTGTATAAATATATATAGATACATTTTCATAACAAAACAATGGGGTTGCTAGGCGCCGTTGCTAGGCGCCGCCCCTGCCTCGTTGTTTAACCGGCTTTAGCAATCGCAAAATGTCACGGCAGCTGAGTGTCCGAAGCTTTTTTAATAAGCCCAGTAATTGTGATGGTGTGGATAGACGAGGTGAAAAAAGAGGGATTGATGCAGTGGAGGATGAAGGACAAGCCAGTAAGACCAAAACTGACAACGTTCAGCCAGCAGCAGAGGGACAAGCAAGTGGCAAGGAGTTGAAGCGGGAGTACCGGGTTCAGTGGGAGCAAGAGTTTAAGTGGCTGAGGAGGGAAGATGGCAAAATGTTCTGCGACATCTGTAGAAAAGCTAAGATGAGTAACGGATTTGTCCGAGGGTGCACGACGATGCAGAAATCAGCGCTGAATGATCACAAAAGTAGCCATAGCCACATCGAAGCTTCAAGGATGGTCAACCAGAGCGTGGCAATGGTAAAGCATGTGGAGAAATCGCAGGTTGCCTGTAACGAGGCATTAAAAACACAATTGAAGGTTGTGTTGCATATGGCAAACACAAACACCCCGAGCCACCTATATCCCAACCTAATACAGCTATTACAATCTGCTGGATGTCCAGACCTCAACAGTGCGCACACGTACACCCACCATGAGACAGTCAATCAGATGGAGGAGGCGATAGCAATGACCATATCCAGCACTATCGATGACCGCATCGCCAACAGTAAATACGTCGGGGTAATAGTAGATGAGACGACTAATATCACGGTTGAGAAAATGCTGATCACATACCTGACACTTCAGCATAAAGGGGAGCCTGAAACCGTGTTTATTGGCAATTATGTAATACCCTCTGGCACTGCAGAATGCATCACAACAAAAATAAAAGATGTGCTATCGGGCCGTGGTGTAGCTGTGGCTCGGGTCGTCGGTCTGGGAAGTGATGGAGCGAATGTGATGGTGGGTCGAAAGGCCGGAGTTGCACAAAAGATGCGGCTGAATGACTGTCCCTACCTCGTAAACATTCACTGTGGTGCACACAGAACGGCACTGGCTGCACACGATGCCTCCAAGGCTGTGCGTGAAATAAGTGCATATGTTACGACTATTAATAACATATACACTTACTACAAGAATTCCCCCATTCGAACACACCGACTAAATGAACTCCAAAACGAAATGCAGGAACACGACTTGCTGAGCCTAAAACAACCATCAGCTACACGCTGGCTGTCGCTGGAGAGGGCAGTTAAGGGCATACGTGCCAACTGGGTTGCTCTGGTGTTGGAGTTGCAGGAGGAGGAAGCTGACAAAGACTGTCCGGTCGCTAAGGGGATTAGAAAGCGCCTCCAAACGCTCATGTTCCCTGCCTTGACTCACCTGCTGACTGACGTCTTGGCCGTGGTGAACCGCATGAACCTCACCTTCCAAAAAGAAGATGTCAACATCTCCTCCATCCAGCCCGTCGTGAACATGACCCTTGCCAGCCTCGAGGACTTGATGAATGGGCCAGGTGAGGCGGAGACCACATTTAACGAGGCTTTACAAGACGGCAAGTTCTGTGGCATCACGCTCACCCAGGCAGACGCTCAGACCTTTTCACATGTGCGCACAGACTACATCGCGGAGGTTACTAAATCCATCAAAAAAAGATTTCCTTCGGAGCATGTAGGCATCATCGCTGATCTCGACACCGTGATCAATGCATCTCGCTATCCGGGTGCTGACAGCGCGTTAAAGAGCTACGGACTGGAGGCCTTGGAGCGCGTCTGTGACCACTACGGGTCACAAAGGGATGCAGCTGCGCCACTGGTGCAGAAGGAGCGCATGCTGCGGGATTTCCTCCCAGTGAAGCGAGTGCTTGCAGGATCGGGAAATCCCTCGTTCAGAGAGTCTTGCCGACTTCTGATCACTTCCCTGGGAGAAATGTTTCCCGACTACAAAACGTTGGCTGAAGTGGCGCTGGTAATTCCAGTCTCCAGCGTAGCAGCAGAACGCGGGTTCAGCCTTCAGAACAACATCAAAACGGCAATGAGAAGTCCTCTGTCCGAGGCAAAGACCCAACGCTTAATGACCATCGCCTCTGCAGCAATCTCCCTTGATGCATTTGACTACGCACAAGCGAGCACCCAGTTTAAATCCATGCGGCCCAGGAGGAAGGTCTGAGTTCAGGCTAGGCTACAGCAGGTCAATTGAGTTGTTCTTGCAAATGTTTTGTTCATATTTTAATTGTAATTGTCTCATTTCAAACAATGGCATTGTTCATATTTGCCTGTTTAGGCACAATGGTCGCGGTGTTTTAGTGGCCTCTGCCCCCCTCTGCTGTGCTGTCAGTGCAGGAACAAATAAATCATTCATATTCGTGTTGACATGAAAAGTGACCGCACGGTCGGTGTCTGTTCATCTTTTTTTTTCACAAATTACCAAATAAGGAGTGAGAGTGACGCATAGCCAAAACCTGAAGCTGCGATACTCTGGTGGCTACAATTAGCAGCTAATATTATTAAATTAATAAATAAAAAAATAAAATGACGGGTAATAATGGATTATGACGGAAATGTTACGATCCTGTCCGTCAAAAATGACGGACAATGAAAAAGTCTAACGCAACCACTGATTCATATGTATATGTATTAAAGTGTTTTGTACTTGACTTTACCTGCAGCCACGTTTATGTAAAGGCTCTCTTCTGGTTCATTACTGGCACCTGCTAGAAGGATTAAAATAATGTATCAAAGGACAATTCCTGTACTTTATTTAGAGACTGCTGGCCTACAAAAGCATCTCAAACATTGCATGTAGTATTTGTATTACTCCATGTTAAACACAAATTAAATACTTTACCATTTCCAGCTTCTACAGGCCCTCCGATTGTTTCATAGAGACAACGATCACCTACAGAGAAGTGAAAATCAACCACGGTTACACCAATCATTTTAATCACAATTAAGGCTAAGAGTTCAAAATAAATCATATTATTAAACCGGAGAAGGGCTGACAATGGAGAAGAGTAGAATATTCTGGCATGTTTTTGATTTCATCCTGGTTGATCATGTGGTCTGTAGCAGGGCCCTGATTGGTGCTCTGAGATCTTGTGGGACATACACATGAAGATAATGAAGACGATTGAATTTAACATATAACTGCTGTAATGTTCAAAATGAGATAAAAGAGCATTGTACCAACCTGATGAAGACTGAATCTGTTGAAAACAAGAAAAACTTAGTTACATTGTTTTTTGATTGCAAATGTTTACGGTACATGTAATCTGTGATTTTGGGTAATTATTGGCTCTCTTCTGGTTTATTACTGGCAGCTGTAAGGAGGATTACATTTTTTTATCAAAGGATAATTCCTGTAATTTATTTAGAGACTGCTGGCCTACAAAAGCATCTCAACAATTGCATGTAGCATTTGTATTACTTCATGTTAAACACAAACTAAATACTTTACCATTTCCAGCTTCTACAGGGCCTCCGATTGTTTCATAGAGACAACGATCACCTACAGAGAAGTGAAAATCAAGTCATGGTTACACCAATCATTTTAACCACAATTAAGTATAAGAGTTCAAAATAAATCATATGATTAAGCCGGAGAAGGGCTGACCATGGAGGAGAGTAGAATATTCTGGCATGTTTTGAATATCATCCAGGTTGATCATGTGGTCTGTAGCAGGGCCCTGATTGGTGCTCTGAGATCTTGTGTGCCATACATATGAAGATAATGAAGTGGATTCAATTTAACATATAACTGCTGTAAAGTTCAAAATTAGATAAAAGAGGGTTGTACCGACCTGATGAAGACTGCATCTGTAGAAAAAAAGAAAAACTTAGTTACATTGTTTTTTAATTGCAAATGTTTCCGGTACATGTAATGTGTGATTTTGAGTAATTATAGTTTAATTAATTTGATATCAGATGAAAAGGTTCTGACCTTTTGAATTTCTGTAGCAATACAGCAGCGGGAGAATTATCAGTAAAACTCCACAAAGCAGCCCAACAGTCAACAGGACGGGAAATTGAGAGTCTTTTCCAGGCCAAGACGCTGCTAATATAAATAACCTTAATTAATATTTTTTTATATAACACTTTCCTCAAAGCACTTCACAGGAACAGAGCTTCAAGGTCGGACCAAGCCTCAGAAATCTCTAAGATAAATAAACAATGACAATCAAAAAAAAATGTAAACACCTACATTCATACATTGACACATACATGTACATCTATGGAATATATAAAACTATACAAATACACTTAGACATAAATCATAAATATTTACACACTTATTGGAACAAATTCACAAAATACACTATAAACCCCTGTTCACATATCTTATATTTTTAATGCTGCTCATGTAATCATGGTCATATGAATGTTTTAAGACTGAATACAGAACTGGAAAAATATATTTATTTTACAAAAACTAAATTGTATAATTCGGAGGAAACTAAGACAACTTTGAATTCAGTATTAACTGTCTTTTTTAGCTCTGACTCAGCAACACATCTCAAAAAGAGGAAACAGTTTTTTGTAATACTCACATTTTACTGAGAACCAACTCTCTGGTGACGTCCTACCATGTGCTGAATCTCTCTGTTTACATTTATAAAAGCCTTCATCTGACTTTGACACTGCAGAGATGGTCAGCTCCCTTCTGGTATCGTTCTGGATGAGTTTGTCATTTTTATAGAAATCCACATTATAAAGAACAGTTTCATTATTTAACTTGCAGCTAAGAGTGGCAGGAAGTCCCTCAGCCACAGGACGGACAGGAGTCACCAGGATCATTTGACCATCATCTGGAAAATAAAAATAAAAGAATATAAAGGCTTTGTCAGAGACATCAGCTTTTGCAGATTTAATATGTTTAGGTTAGACAACTGGTCTAATCTGGCAGAAGCTGAAATGCCAAGGTGAAGATATATGAGGAAAATAAAACACCTAGAATATTATCTTTGATCTTTGAGAGGAGTGACCCTGGAGTTCACTTCGCAAATTAGCCTTTGTTATAAAGTTTTACTAATTTGAAGAGACGTTTGGCTAATGCATGTCACCTTCACATTTCAAAACAACATAATACTTCAGAAACAAACATTTTAAATAATTAAAACTCACACTCTTTAGTGATGTTGACTGCATTACTGAACTGTCCTGTTTCAGACTCACACCAGAACACTCCACTAAGCCGACTCCTGGTTATTCTGCATATAGATCCAGTCATTGTCCCCCAGATAGAACAGGGAAGAAGGGTGTCAGGTTCATAAAACCTCATCACTCTCCACTCAGTGGAGTTTCCCTCACAGCTCAGTGACACAGGCGTTTTGGTGAAGTGCTGCACACTGTCAGGACTCACTGTGAGAGACGCTACTGAATTCAAATCTGAAACACACAAAGGGGACAAACAAAGCATTTATGTATATTGAAGGCAACTTGAACATTACAAAAACAAAAAGCATTTAATCAACAATAAAGAGTGAGTGTCATATTAAAGCATGTAATGCATGTTTGAGTGAATTGCTGAATGTATAGAATTTGGAGTTGTTTGTAACATTGGGGAACTTTTATGTAAAACATAACCAAAAGGCATATCCAAAATATCCCAAAACTCAAAATATAGAGTCCTCCATTTAAAGGTTTAGGGGGCATAGAACAAGATAACATAGAAAGAAGGATCAAAGAAAGAACATATATGAAAGATAATACAAAAAATAATAACAAAGCTATGGAGAGAATGAGAAGAATGGATGGATGTAAAGAAGGACACATAGAAAGTATCAGTCCTTCAAACCTGAACCACAGCTTACATTGACCTGATGCTTGTGTGAAGGAAAAGTTCCCAAAATAAGTGAATTCCTACCATTTTGCAGTAAAGGAAAAGTCAAATCATACTGACCTCCAGACCAGACAAACGTAGGTTTGCTGTTCCAACTGTAAAACACTCGATCTCCTCTTCCTGCTATGCACACATATCCTGCTGTGTGTGTTTGTCCATCAATGATGAAGAGATCCTGTTCAGTCCCATTCTCGCTGCCAGGTAGCAGCTCATAGCTGTAGGAGTTGTATGACTTTTTGGGAACAGCCTTATACCAGTAGAAGCTCCAGCCAGCAGAAGGATGATCAACCCTGCAGTTCAGAGTTACTGAGGCTCCAGGACTCGGCCATGATGGAGACACAGTGAGGACAGCCTTAGGTCTTTCTGTTCGAAAGTGATTTAATGATAACGTTATGATTTATAATTGGTGGGTAACATACACTCCTTGCATCCTACATATTTTCTACAAACATGTAAAACAAATGTGAAGGTGCACCATCCTTTAATATAATAACCAACATATTATAGATGATATGTTTATATACATATAGCAAAACAAATCTAATAATGACAAATTACTTACTGTCATATAATGTGAGGACATCACTCCAATGCGTTGAAGACATTTCACCTTTCAGTCTGCCCTTACACCCGTAGTCTCCATGTTGTGAGGTCAGAGTAAATGTAGGGTCAGATGTCTGGTGTGTTTCTGACCTGGGTGTCGTCCATATATAATCCCACTCATAGTCTCCTCCATCCTTAATTTCACATGTCAGAGTGATCGTTTCTCCAGAGTATATCTCAGGCCAGTTGGGTCGCAGGGTCACAACAGCCCTGTTTGTGACTGTTTGAGGAAGAAGCACAAAATACTAAATAAAAAAAATTAAAAAAATATAAAATTATTAGCGACCTTCTTAATCCTTACTTTCAAATATTATAATTTGTATTTTCTTTATGACATAATATTAGATGTTTTAATTACCGACTGCATCGCTGTACTCTGTGTAGTAAACAGGGTCTCCTCTTCCTCCTCTGCACCAGTAGACGCCTCCTCGTGAGACACTGATTTGGTCATTTGTGAGGAAAACATCTTGTGTCTTCAGGGGTTCAGAGGTTTTCTCTTTTTTGTACCAGAAGTATCTCCAACCAGAAGCTGATGATGGTCCTACAGAGCAAGTTAGAGTCACATTGCCCCCTCCTGGAAATACGTCTCTCAGCTGGGCCTTTGGTTTTGCTGTTTAATGTAGAATAAAGGTACAAATGTTTACAAAATATTATTCATTGTCCCTGTAAATAAGCTTAGCTTGACAAATAATACAAATGTATAATATATCTTATCCAGCACTCTTAGTAATATGCAATCACTGTGTATGTTATAATGAAAATAATGAAAATATAGAGAAATAACTACTTATATTTCTATTTATAACCACTGAAGTAGTTGGTTAACCTTGTGTAGAAACGGCCATAAAACGGGGTGAACATTTAAAAAGCATTTTTTTTCTTTGTTCATTAGGGTTACCAGTGTTTCTAAGATTAGGCAGATATTATAATTCTGTTTCATTTTGGGTTTACTAAATGTCTGAAGTTTTAGGGTTAGGGTTAGGGCACAACCCACTGCGCTACACGCCTACATAAAGTAAAATGTGTTTACTTTTTGTCAAAACATTTATAATAAAATTACAAAACGGAACACACAAAAAAGAGGATGTTGTTTGGAGGGTTACATAGGTAGATTTGTCTTGAGTAAGTATACAAAAAGAAAGAGAATTGTATAATTACCTTGAGCTTGTCCACGGTAAAGTAAATTGAGCGCTGAAATACATTTGAAATTACATCAGACATTATCAAACTGACAAATATATCATAACCTCAGGCATTTAAAAAGTTGTATCAATGGTAATTAAAACTGGAAAACTGTACTCACAGAATAACCCCAGCGTGCAGAGCAAAGTGTGTCCCATCTTCACATCGAACACTGACTCTGTCTCTTACATACGTCCACTTTAACACTTGAAAAAAATTGAGGAAGACTAACAGAGCACTGTGGGAGGAAATCTGATCTGATGTCAAAATGAGCGCATTGGTATTTTACACTTTTTCCAAGAATAACTAGTCTCTCTTTCCTTCCTGTTTTACATTGGCACGACTACTTCATGCTCATGCCATGCAGATACATTTTAACTTCACTCTCTACCAAGATCCCACTTTAAAAAGGCAGAGTAAATAGTCATTTTTGCTCAACTCATATCTTAGTAAAAATGGATGGCAGTGTTATACTTGTGTTTCACAGGCAGATATTTTTAACGCCAATAGATGGTTCATCGAGACAACTGCAGAACAATTTAACTTCTTTTCATTCTTTACCTGACCTTTATTGCAATTGTAATTCTGATTATTTATCATGCATTTGTCTAAAAACACAAGACAAAAGTCAGGATTTTTTGGTAAAATAGCCATCTTGTAAACCTCTAATATTAGATGTTTCTACTGCTTCATCACTATATTAATAAAAACGGCCGATGATTCAAAGTGACACATTTTTGGTCACATCTCAGCTCTTGCACCTCTAAATTCCTTCTGTCGCCTCAAAGCATGACTGTACTGTATTTAATATTGAAGTTAAATGCATAAATCTGGTGCACTTTGAGAGCAACATTAAGAGATCTACTGTATGGACATCTCTCAACACCCATATGAAACAGAAATGTAAACAAATGTTCTTATTCTTTATGGATATTTTATAAATCACTCCCCTTTTAAACTGTATTCTTGTTTTACTTTCATATAGTATTTCATAACTGTTTTTCATTTATTCTCTTGTTTTTTTTATAACTATAATGATCATATGAAGGTGTGCCTTGGAAGTAATCTTTTACATAATAATTGCATTCACTGAACACGGGAAAATTACAATCCTGCCGTCCTCTCTAGTGTCATGATGAGGTGGAGGTAAAGCACGTTAATGTATTATATTCAGGGGTGCACATCACTTTTTTAGTGAGTTACTCAGATGAGTACCAGGAGACAGTGTTTGGTACTCACCCCACACGAAGCGTGGTCCTCCTCAGTGTCTCCTTCACTGTCCTCTATTTACACTTCTTGGATGCTAGATGATGAAGATGATGATGAAGATGCACCTCCCTGTCTCTTTTTAAGCCTCCGGTTTGCTTTCTCCAAAACTTGTTGTCAAAACTGTGAAGTCCTTGCATTTCCTGAGGCCAAGTTGAAGGATCAAATACTAAGAAATGATCACATGACTTGAAGTCATATCTGATTTCAGATGTGGGAAGTTACTAAGTACACTTATTCAAGTATTGTACTTAAGTACAATGTTGAGATATTTGTACTTTACTTGACTTTGATGCTACTTTGTACTTCTACTCCACTACAGTTCAGAGGTAATGGTGTACTTTTACTCCACTACATGTATTTAATACCTTTAGTTACTTTACAGATGTGGATGAATGATGTGAAATATAATCAAGTCTTAAATCTGACTTTAGTTCCACATGGAGTAAATTCACAAGCTACCCTGCAGTATACAAAGTCATTCAAACTAGCTGCACCTTTACCAGCTTTCACAACACTTTAATGATCAATCATTATTAAACATATCATATACAATTATTAGGGATGCTCCGATCGCCAATTTTGGGGGCGATCGCCGGAATCAGTATCGGCCGATACCGATCGCCGATCCGATCAAGTGGGCGGGGCCTATGGGGATCTTCCATTTAAAGTGATGTTTAAAACTCAGTTAATGGGGCTCATTCACTGGCGCTTCCACAAACCAACCAAAATAATTATTACATTCAAATGAAGTACATTATTCAAGTTTACATTAACTTGGGATAATAACACGGGAGAAATTAGCGGAAGCACTCTCTTTTCCTCTCTCCCCCTCTCTCCCTCTCTCTCTCTCTCCTGACAGCCCGTCAGTATCTCCTGCAGCTCACTGATCCAGTAATGAGCGACCCGACAGTGAAGAATAAATATATTTATAACTAGTTTAGCTTGTTCCAGAGGTAGATAAAATAGCTAAGTGTGTTAGGTCTAACTCTTAATGTGTGTTCTGCTCCGCTCACCGGTCCGTCACAGCGGGTGGAGCTGCACGATTTCTGCTTCACACACGTTGCATACGGCTATTTTATTGTCATTTTCGGACACTTAAAATACTGCCAGACTAGTGAAGCCATTTTGGCGAGCTTGTTTTGCCGCGCACAGAGAAAAGTGTCATGTATTTTACATGCAACGATAGCCTAATCTAAAATGCTCTACTACGGCGTACCTTTCGTGTGGTGTGTGGCTCGTCAGCGCAGACTCTCGCATCGTTATGTTTGCACACTTTGCAGGAGGCTACTCTTGGGCTTCGCTTGACCCTCGTCTTAGCCATGGCTTGTATTTGTCTTCTGCTAGCCAACGCTCGTTGAAACGGCAACCTCCTGGCATACTGTCATCTATCACTCTCATCAGAATGCCCAGGTCACACACGTAACAAAAACACTTGCCGGTCACGCGCATTGCGCGGGAAGGCCGGAGCGGAGCTGTTTTATGTAAAAGCGAAGCAATTAAGCGCGCTCCGACTTCTTTATTTTTTTTTAATCTAAAAAGCGAAGTAAAGCATTTACAATTTCAAGCACTTTATCCCAAATTCAAGCACCATTCCCAAAATGCAAGCACTTTTCAAGGATTTCCAGCACCCGTACGCACCCTGATGCTTTTATTGAACTTGGTAATGGTGGTATTTTGATTACTTACCTGATACATTTAGATAGATTGTATTGCTTCTTTTTGTTGATCCCCGTGCAGAAAAAAGCATTGGTATTCATCACTGTAGCCTGAAGCTGAGAGTAATTTATAGCTCTCATGTTTGTAGTAAGAGAGGAATTCTCGACCATCCCTTTGGATTGAGTAAAACCAGTCGCTGTCTTTGTCTCCTGTAATGTCACACTTGAAGGTCACAGACTCCCAGGGAAAAAAAGTGGTCCAGTTTGGCTCAATGGTCAGCACAGCATCTAGAAACCATCACAAGATACAAAAAGTAAAATCTGTTTTATTTTTGTTAAAAAACGCATTATACATTGACCAAACGGATGTTGTTTGGAGAGTTACGTAGGTAGATTGGTCTTGAGTAAGTATACAAAAAAGATGTCCATGGTAAAGTAAATTCAGCACTGAAACAAGTTTGAAACTACATCAGACATTATTAAACTGACAAATATATCATAACCTCAGGCATTTAAGTTGTGTCAATGGCAATTAAAACATGAACAGTACTTTCAGAAAATCCCCAGTAGAGAGAGAAAAGTGTGTCCGATCTTCACATCCAACACTGATAAACTGTTCCTCTGCTTTTGATAAATGTGTCTACTTTGTTTAAAGTGGACCTATCATGCTATATTTAAATGATATATTGTAGGGCCATACCTATATAAGGTATATTTATACGTTTCTGTTTTCAAAATACCAAACAGATCATGCATTTTAGCCATGCCTCATTTCGCTCTATGTGCTGTTTGCTGTCTACGGGTCTGATTCTGCTGACCACGCGCCCCTGCAGGAGAGGGCAGCCTTGCTCTGATCAGCTGCTGGGCTGTCAGAAGAGGGGGAGAAAAAGAGATCTCCGTCCTCCGTGTTTTATTATATAGAGTCGTTATTCATTTGTTTTAAAGCTCAATAAATAACAAAGAAGACCTTTGACCGGCACTTTTCTAATTTTGTCCGGAAGATTTAAACTTTAACGGACATCTTGACCGGCGAAAGAAACTGAAACTGAAACTGACACTCTGCCGCACGGTCCCCTCGTTCCTTGGAAGAGGCGGAGAGGTGGGTGTTTGTCATCTGCTGGTGGACTAACCGGAGAGAATTACAGTGCTTGCCTCGACGGGGAGGGATTGCATTGAATTAAAGCAGCGGGAGCAAACGCTTGCCTCGGGGAGGGAGAAAGAAAGCCACAGCGGAGAATAAACAGAAGGGTAACCATGGTAACTATGGGCGGGAAGTCTTCTTCGCTGCTTTTGTGGCAGACTACAGCGCCACTTACAGGCCTGGCATATGTACTACAGCGTCTCCAGCGCTTTCGAGCGGCAATGGCCGGCCGTGGCCCAACCCCACATTCCCCTGATAGGTGAAGAGTTGGCCCAATAGCCGTAGCGCCACTTCTGTGACGTCATAGAAGTGTTCAAATCTGGATCAGTCTGTATCAGATCCATTGCAGCCCCTTTTTTAGAGATTTGGGTATGGAGGAAAATAGAGAGGGTTGTGTTTTCTGACACTTGGTGAGTTCCCTGGAACACCGGGGACACATATTCATGTATAAAAGACGTACCAAAGTGCATTTTGCATGATAGGTCCCCTTTAAATAAAAGATAGAAACTGCAGCATATGAAGATAAATCAGGAACTACAGAGAAACAAATGCAATGTAATATTGGAAAATCTTTTAAAAAGTACACGGTCTGGGCTTCCTTCCCTTTTACACAAAGCTCACACAACTGAACAACTTTTAACACAGCACATGTTGATGTATCTTGGTTTACTGTATGTATCCTCTAATGATGAAGAGAGATAAGGTATTAAAATATCCTTCCTGATAAGATCATCCTGTGGGCTGGTGCTGCACAAATAGTTAGTAATGATTGATGCTTCTCTAAAGACTGCTGCATGAAGTCAAACAGTTTTCTTTCTAGAACAAATTAAGTGATAAAATTGCATGCGTCATACTCACTTTATAATCCATGGGCCTTCTCACCAATATTTCATGTGAAAATGTGTTTTTAACAGCTTTAACCAAATAGTTGAACTGCAGTGTTGGAGTGTTATGGAGAAATTGAAGTTTAAGTTTAGAAACAACCTCACCCACAGGAAGTCTCTCATAGTCTCTTTACCAGATGTGAATGGGAAGAGAGACAAAGTCCTGCCCCCTCCTCAAAATAGACTCTATCTACTGTACTTTAAGGGGGCAACATTTCATATATATATCATTAGTAATAAAGCAATCATTTGTATACAGAAAATAGTTGTTGTCTAGGTGCAAAATTGTATCACAACAGTTGTACAAAAACAACTTAATGCCATAATAATGATCAAAATAAATAAATACCACAACACTTCAGTAGCTGTGTAGTTTTAAATGTGGTGGGTAGTCAAAATTAAAAGCTTCCACTTCCATGCATCAGTGCAAAGCTAAGGAAGTGAACCGTAAGCAGTCAATTGTTTAGTTATTAGTTAGGAGTTACATTTACATGACATCAGACCCTGCTGCCAGACTTCAGAAGGACTATTTGTGTAGAGTAGGTAAAGTATGAGATAAAGTAGTTTGACACCACCTTGTGGTCATATATCGAAAGAAAGCTTCTATTATAACTGCTCAGTGACTGGAGAACAAATAAAATAGAATATTCTCAGTAAAATACTCACATAAATTGGACAAACTAATGTTGGCTGTAGTGCGTCAGTAGATTCCCTTCTTCTATCTCTCTACATAGAGAATACTGTATGTTTATCCATGGACAATGTAGGAACAAAGTACCATATATTCACATTTTGACATCATACAAGATAATAAAGTGTAAGTACTAGCAGAAAACATATATATTAAGTGCATTAAGGGTTTTGGTTACCATTTTTTTATTTGAATGACAAAAACAGGTTTGAAAAATATAAAATGTTCTGCCTTGTTTTCTTCCTGGACAGGCTTTACTGCTTTGATTGCATTGAAAGCACGAAATAAAGATAAGACTTGTGGGTTGTTGTTTCTCTTTTGGTGACAAGCGTATGAGAAATTCCGTCATGTTTTTAGTTATTTTGGTTAATCTGCTTAACACAATACAGAACATTGGTATTATTAAAGATGAGATAGTAAGATAATACAAGTAGTATTTATTAATACAAAACAAAGACGGTCCCAACAATCTGAAAGGAAACAAATACACTGTACAAAAGGAGTGTGCTTCAGTTCCTTTGAATCTGAACATCTTGTTTGACCTATTGGTGGCGCTGTGACTTCAGATGTTTTGGCTTTTGCAAGAGACTACTTCTGCAGATAAATTCAAGGCATTAGATAATTTGTTGGCACCCTGTGGTAGCATCTAGTAAGAATCATTCACTGAACAGTACATGCAGGTATAACTGCATTTGGGTTTTATGAATAATATATGTGTGTGTCCACTGTGTGCATCTACAGTGCTAAAGCATGTGTCCATACTGCATATATTAGTATCTGGTTCTAATATCATGCTTGTCACCTTCACATTTTAAAAGAACATAATACTTCAGAAACAAACCTTTTAAATAATTAAAACACCATCTTTAGTGATGTTGACTGCGTTACTGAACTGTCCTGTTTCAGACTCACACCAGAACACTCCACTAACCCAGCTGCTGGTTATTGTGCATGTGGATCCAGTCTTTGTCCCCCAGGAAGAACAGCGATGAAGGAAGCCAGATTCATAAAACCTCATCACTCTCCACTCGGTGGAGTTTCCCTCACAGCTCAGTGACACAGACGTTGTGGTGAAGTGCTGCACACTGTCAGGACTCACTGGGACACACAAACAGGGGACAAACAAAGCATTTATGTATATGGAAGGCAACTTGAACATTAAAAAAACAAGAAGCATTTAAATCAACAATAAAGAGTGAGTGTCTAATTAAAGCATGTAATGAATTGAAACAATTACAAATACTGCTTATCGATCCGGTACTTTAACAGTATTTTTATAGGTTCTTTTTGTTATTTTTTAAGGGAAAAACTTAACAAATTGGAAACAGAATTAACATTGATTTATTTTATGTATAGTGTTGATTATGGGCTGCTAGCACACATAACATAGGCCTACATGCAGTGGTGGTAGTAACTAAGTAGATTTACTCAAGTACTGTACTTATTTTTAGGTACTTAAGTATTTCCACTTTCGCTTCTTTGTAATTCTGCTCCTCTACAGTTCAGAGGTAAATGGTGTACTTCTACTCCACTACATGTATTTAATACCTTTAGTTATTTTACAGATCTGGATTAATGATGTGAAATATAATCAACTCTTAAATCAGACTTTAGTTACACCTGGAGTAAATTCACAAGCTATCCTGCAGTATACTACTTTTACTTAAGTACTTGATCTGAGTACTTCTTCCACCTTACACGTAATTGGGGCAACAGAACTCTGAGTTAAGGAAGTCGAAAAGGGTGCATTTCTCCATATGAATATGATGCCTTTTGGCCAGCTGATGGACAGATTGCTTGTGTTTCCGCAAAAATACTTATGGCAAACGAACATTGTACTTATCGAGCCTTGTAGATTGTCACTTTTGAACGCTCTGTTGTCCTCCGGCAGATCTCTGTGTGCACGGTGCTGCAGTGAGTCTATGAGGCCCTGCCCCCCGCACAGAGAGAGAGAGATCTCCCCACCGACCACGTTAGATGTCAAGGGAGATGTATGCCTCATCATACTTTGTTGATTTGGGCATTATAGCTGAAAGGCCACTTTTCTTTTAGATGCCGGTTGTGTTAAAAATGTGTTAATTTCATTGATTTAAAAGCAAACAATGTTTGTTTACAACTTCTTCCCAAGCTTCACGCGCCCACCCAGCAATAGCACTGCGCCCCTCCTAGGGAGCGCGCCCCCCAGGTTGGGAACCACTGACCTAAGGCATTTAAAAAGTTGTATCAATGGTAATTAAAACTGGAAAAGTACTCACAGAATAACCCCAGCGCGCAGAGCAAAGTGTGTCCCATCTTCAGATCAAACACTGACTCTCTGTCTCTTACACATATGTCCACTTTAACACTTGAAAGAAATTGAGGAAGACTAACAGAGCACTGTGGGAGGAAATCTGATCTGATGTCAAAATGAGCTCATTGGTATTTTACACATTTCCTAAGAATAACTAGTCACTCTTTCCTTCCTGTTTTACATTGGCATGACTACTTCATGCTCATGCCATGCAGATACATTTTAACTTCACTCTTGACCATGATCCCACTTTAAAAAGGCAGAGTAAATAGTCATTTTCGCTCAACTCATATCTAAGTAAAAATGGATGGCATTATTATACTTGTGTTTCACAGGCAAAGATATTTAACGCCAACAGTTAGATGGTTCATTGAGACAACTGCAGAACAATTTAACGTCTTGGTCATTCTTTACCTGACCTTTATTGCGATTGTAATTCTGATTATTTATCATGCATTAGTCTAAAAACAGAAGATAAAAGTCAGGATTTTTTGGTAAAATAGCCATCTTGTAAACCTCTAATATTAGATGTTTCTACTGCTTCATCACTATAGTAATAACAAGGGCTGATGATTCAAATTGACACATTTTCGGTCACATCTCAGCTCTTGCACCTCTAACTTCCTTCTGTCTCCTCAAAGCATGACTGTACTGGATCACCAAAATAAGACGGAGGATGATGAAGCAAATCAAACACCTTGTGAAAAGAAAAATCAAGTAGAAGCACTTCAGTAAATAAAGTTTATTGATGCAAAACAAAGCTTACTTTTTTTTTTAAACACACCTAGATTAAAGCCATATGATGCATTTCCTTTCAATTATTTGCTATTACATTAACTGTACAAAATATTGTCTGATAAATGGAGAGCAAAGCTGAAAATAAGGTTTAATAAACAAAGGTTTCGTTTTGGTATGTTGTTTCCATTCGTCTTGTCCTTACAGAGGACATTGTTCGATCTGGAAGAAAACCAAAGAAGAAAGAGATGACACTTTTTAAAGAATTAGAGTGTTTCATGACATATTAATCCCATTTACAATATATTTAACAATATATGAAATATATAAAGTGATTGATCTGAAAACGTACATGATGTTACGCTGCATTTTTATCAAGAGCTGTTCCTGGTTTGAGTTCAGAATAAACAGTTTCATCCGCTGGTGCAGGACTTGACTTCCCTATGAATTAAGAGATTATTATTATTTATTGTTTACAGTATTCCCCCCAGTTAGCAATGAAAATGTACTGGTATACATTTTCCTCACAAGAGGGTACAGTGATAGTTTGATAGAAGGAATTGCTCATGATGATTCACAACAGTTAAACATGTATGGATACAGATGAATGAAATGTCACATGCCCCGATGTTTATTTCATGAATGCATAGAATTGGCAGATAATTAAATAAACAAACATTGACAAAGTTATGTGTAGGGTTTCAACATTGCTGACTTTTGTGACACCTTGTGGCACATTTTAAAATGACACCCTAGCAGGCAGCATGTAACCCAACAAAACCTTAAAGCGTGTAGTATTTCATCATACCTGCTGCTGATGCCAACTGCACATGTGAGTAAACACAATCCTCCGGTTCATTTTTCTTCCCTGTTAGACGGATCAGGAGAAAGAGTGAAAAGACAATACTTTACTTAATTTAGGCACTGCTAGCCTACAAAAGCACCTTAATTATTGTATGTTATTACGACATAGAAATGAAATACTCACCCTTCTTAGAAATGTTTTTGAGCTCGAGCACAGAATATGTCGCATCCCTGGATTCATCTGAAATGTATAATTTATTTTATATTTAAAAGAGTGAACCTTGAATTTTCATATTCCAGTATTTATATTTACTATACTGTACCATTTGCAGGTTCTCCAGGGCCTTTGACTGTTTCATAGAGACAGGCATTATCTGAAGAATAATCAAATTCATATTAAAATCCCTCTATATGAACTCCTACATTTTTTTAAAGCAACTAATGAGAAATGGAAATGCTACTCGGTTAATAACGTTAACAATTAATTCAAAACATATTAAGGATTCAGGCTGACCCTGAAGA